CTTGGTGGAAGATGTGTGTACCAAAGGAAATGGGTGGTATGGGTTTCCGGGACATTCATAGTTTTAACATGGCCATGTTAGCCAAACAATGCTGGAGACTCATTGAGAATTATGACTCACTTTGTGCAAAAGTTTTAAGGGCCAGATATTATCCTTCTGGGGATATTTTGAACTATGAATTGAAGAAGGGCTCATCCTTTGTGTGGCAAAGTATTTGGGCAGGAATACAAATGTTCAAAAAAGGATGCATTTGGAGAGTCGGAGATGGTGCAAAGATAGATATATGGAGTGACTGTTGGATTCCCAGTAGTGCATCGCGGAAAATTGTTACTGTCCGTGGGAACCAACTGCTCACTAAGGTCAGTGACCTCATCGACCCCTCCTCGGGAGAGTGGGATGAACAACTAATAAGGGACACTTTCTGGCCTATAGATGCTGACCCGATATTGCAAATTCCATTGTTTCGGCATCATACAGAGGATTATATAGCATGGCACTTAAATAAGAACGGCACTTTCTCGGTTCGCTCAGCGTATTACAAACAGTGGGAAGAGACTTATGCCCACGAAGATTTGATGGGGAACTACCGATCTGGTTCTGGACCACATCCAGTATGGAAGAAGGTTTGGAAGCTCAAACTGCCAGGAAAGATTAAGATCTTCATTTGGAGGTGCTTACACAATGTGCTACCATGCTTCAGCGTTCTAACAAATCGGCATGTTGGTACTAACTCTCAATGCCCTATCTGCAAGATGGATGCGGAAGATATACGCCATGTATTGTTCTCATGCCCACGTGCTCTAGCTGTTTGGGAAGCCTTGGGCGTTGGCAATATTATCAGGGACGCCATGTGCATAGACCGCTCTGGAGCAGCGATAATAGATTTTCTCTTATGTGATGAAGCTCATCAGCGTATATACTCAGACCCGATAGAATTGCCGGAGATTATTGCTGGAACTAGCTGGTACATCTGGTGGCAGCGGAGACAATTTGTGCGCGGAGAAACTGTCCACTCGCGGGAACAAACTGCAATGTCAATTCGGGCAGCAGGGAAACCGAAGGAGAGACCTCGACTGAACAAGTGGCCTGTTGTTTTGTCCAGCCAACAAGTACTAAACGTTGATGCATCGTTTCATGTTGAAGATCATACAGGCGGGTGTGGAGCAGTAGTAAGAGATAGCGGCGGGAAATTCATCGGCGCATCAACAGCTTATCTCATGCAAATCCTGGATCGTCTCGGCGGAAGCTGCAGCTCTGTTAGAAGGCATTAAACTTCTCCAAATCCTAGGTTGCAACAATGTGATGCTGAGAATGGATAATATTGTGGTGGTTGATGCTCTACGGACGAATGAAGGTCATGCTATGGTGGCAGCCCCAGTTTTAGAAGAATGTAGATTCTTGCTTCGTGAGTTCGGGAAGGTAACTATTGAGCATTGTAATCGAGAGTTAAATGTAGTTGCTCATGAGCTAGCTAGTTGGGGAAGTACAAACTCTTCCTCTGTATGGGTAGACGCACCCCCTGAGTTTATTGTAAAATCTCTAGCAAACGATGTATGTGTGATTGATTAATAAAGCTAGCCGTGAAGGCCTTCCCGTCAAAAAAAAAACAACCTCGGCGGAGGCCGCCCCAAGGCACCAGGCCCCAGGGTCGGCTCCTGCGGCTTGCACGCATCTATCTTAACCGATTCACTTGCGCGCACCGGCTGCGCACAGGCCTCGATCTCTTCTTTCCTTCACTCCTACTGGATAAAACGAGCCCAGTGTTGAAGTCTGATGGGCTGCACCACACCACCAGTGTCAAAAGAAAAAACACTGTCTAACCATGGGCTGAGCCCCCTCGAAAGAAAAAATTAATATGGGCTGAGCCTTACTATTTATTCGCCCTGATTCCTTTTTTTTTTTGCATTTCAATATAAAATTATCTGCGCCTTGATTAATATGGGCCGAGCCTTGCTAAAATAATGGAAGTGAAAGGCAAGAGAACGGAAAAGGCGATGTTCCTAATAGTGCTAAACTTCATTTATACAATGAAAATGGGGGCCGTGTGGCCCCTTTGCTCGTAAAAATATCGCAATGGGTTTGTATTTACCCATAATGATTCGTATTAGGAATTGCCCCAAGGTTTCTGTGAAGGTTCATTTTCTGGCCCGGCCTATTTTGCCCTTTTCCGTTCGCTCGCTCACTCGCTCGAGTAGAGTTTTGTTTTCATACTTTCTGTCTATTTGTTGACTGGTCTGGTTTTCATCTTTGTTTCTTTTTTTATGTTTTCTTTACAGTTTTCATCAGTTTTTCTTTTCCCTGTGTTTTCTTTCGGTTTTCTATGGTTTCCGCTTCTTTTCTGTCTTTCTTTTTCCTTTATGATTTTCATTGTTCTCCTTTTCCCTTTCCGTGTTTCTCCTTACATATTTCATCGGATTTCTTGGTTTTCAATTGTTTTTTCCTTTTTTTTATGTTTTGTTTTATGGGTTTCTTCAGTTTTCTTCTTTTATTTTCCTTTCCTTTTTCTTTTACTCAATAGATATCTACTTTTTCAATACATGTTGTATTTTTTGTATATATCATAAAAAAATTCACATGTTGAACATTTTCTTAATACATGATTAACATGTTTTGTCAAATATATGTTTTGATGTGTACTTTTTAATATACATTGTAAATTTTTGGTATACATCTGAAGCATGTTTTGTACACAATGGGCATTGTTTAAATATATGAGTAACACTTTTGTCAAATATATGTCTTGACTTCTATGTTTTTTTATTTACACATATTTAACCTTTTCTGAAGACATGATAAACATTTTCTTCAAATATATGTTTTTATGCCTATTTTTCACGCACATTGTAATTTTTTTGTTCACATCTGAAACATTATTCTTATACATGACAAACAAAAATGGAATACATTATTAACATTTTTTAAATATATTTTTTACGTCTAATTTTTCATACACATTGTGCATTTTTTGTATACACCAGTAACAATTTTTTTACACATATTGAACATTTCTTAAAATACATGACTGACATTTTTTTTCAAAAATATATATTTTTAGTATGTGTTAAACATTTTTCAGTTTGTGGTAGACATTTTTAAATGCCACCAATTTTTTCCTGAATGATATAAACATTCTTTAAAATTACACTGCATTAACATCTTTTATATTTATGATTTTATTTAAAAATGAATAAATAAAAAATTTAAATGTGTATTTAGGATATTACTAAAAATATATACCATATGAAATAAAGAACGAACTAAAAAAACAAATGAACAACCAAACGGAAAACTGAAAGAAACAGAAAATCAAAGCCTACACTCGGTCTTGCTACTGGGCCGGCCCAGTAGAGTGTTCCTTGACGCGATTCCGTGTTAGGCATATCCTTTTCTAGTGAATCCTACTACCTTGGATAAACCTTAGGTCGTATTATTTTGCGGCGATGCTACGACGATATCATTTAACAAAGGAAATGATACGACCTATGAATACAGGTCCTCTGGCTTCGTCGAAGTGATGGCAATAGTAGCGTCTTTGTCTATAATTGTGTTTTTTTATTTCTTCTCCTTGATGCGACGAAGAAGCAATGGCTTGTCGTGTAGGGGATGTTCCACCAGTAGCATTACATTCAACATTTATGTTGGGTTCTCAACTCTTTTAACCTCTCAGGTTAATTACCTCTGTATAGGGTCTTATGATGTTTTTCCATTATGGCAAATATAGTACATGAGGACGACCACTTTAGAGCATCTTGGCGTGACTTTTATTTTTTGATAACATGTACCTTTGATCAATTTGACCGGCTTAACCAAATCGATAAATTTATTTTTTTCTCAAGGACACACCGAGATCTCTACTAGTCTTGTTGGCTCCCATGTTTGAAGTTAGCAGCCCATAGATCTCTTGAAATGGTTGTTGAGCTATGACCGCCGCTCTACATAGCAACAACATAAGATGTGCACTTCTACCTAAGCGAATGTTGACAAGCTGAGAAATCGACTTAGGGAACGACACACAACGGTGACATGAAACACTGTTCGAGACCATGGAAAAGGGGTCATATGGTCGAAAACAGGCGGATGTTAGGAAACCGTGAACGAACCACATATGACACCTGGGCGACACAATGTCATTCTACCAAGGAAAAAGCTAATGATTTGACTGAAATGGGCGGAAGCCGAAAAAACGGTGTTTGGAATGAATATGCTGGCATGGCACCAACAACGGTGAAGGAATACTACCATGGCAACCAAACAACAACAGGCAAATGCTGCCATGGCAGCAAAAATGAGAACAACATATCTGCGCCTTTTATGGAACATCTCTGCATTACCTATTTTTGCCTTTTATCAACACGTTCCTTTTCCCCTGTCTTGAGAACGCCATGTATAACATCCTTTACAGTTCGCACCACTTTATCCGTGCCTTGCAAAAGGTGGGTAGCTCAATCAATCATGCAGTAGTTAGCATTGAGCATGTGCCAAAAACAGAGGGCGGGTATAGAATACCCAGCGAACAACACTGCAGCATATCCGGCAATGTTGGGGTTGGTACTGGCTAGTGGCTACGAACTCGGAATAATGTCCACAAACTAATCGCCGGCAGCGTAGATGTACTCTCCAACGTACCACACTCAACGATTACCGGCAGTTAACCGACCAGCTGACGAGTCCCCGCGGAAGGTAAAACAACTGACGAGTACTAGTAGCTGTTCTGCGCAGGTGCATGGTCGTTTTTGCCAGATTACTGAACTCTGAACTTCAGCTGTGTTCTCTGACAAGAGGTAGTAAATCAAAACTGTTCCTTCTCCAGCTTACACTGCAGTCTGCATGGATGCAGAAGGGGAGGTAATAAGCTAGCTCTGCAGTTGCTATTCCTGTCACTATCACCATGTGTTACTGTTAATTGTCTAAGCTTACATGTAACCTTTCCAACCATGAATGAGTGGCAGCCTGCAGCAGCTGCGACCAACTAACCAACTAGCTAGCTGTTTAGTGCTTGGTCAGTGGTGCCTGGAACTGTGAACAGTTCGAACGTAGTAGTCTTCATGGAACTCCGGCACGTGCGCCACTGCCCTAACTTCTTTCACCGCACCGGCGCTTCTCGTCGCCTCGCTCTCGCTTACCGAGCCAGTGGTAGAACCCTTGACCAAATCATCGCTTGGTTTCTGCAATCACGAATACAAGCAAGTTAATTAGCATCTGCAGAAACTATCCAAAGATTAAGGTCGACGACGAATGAAAAGATCATCAGAACCACTACTTACATTGTGCACTGGGTTGCTGCTGCTACCGCCGACTGAAGCCCGGGTCTCGGCGTCTAGCCGGATGCCTTCAGCCTCCATGGCCGCCGTCAGTACCAGAAGCAAGACCACGGCTGCAGCCAGTGGCAAGTAGCTGGAACTGCGACTCCTCATCTGTCAGAGATCGCTGACCAAGTGAGTACTGCACTGCACTATACTTCAGTCTTCAGCTCAGAAGAGAGAGTGTGGAGCGGAGAGCCTAACTAAGTCGTCGTCTGAACTGGAGCGTTTAAACTCATGAAAGATGGTGCCTGTATATATGCATCCTGCTTTGCAACACGTCTCAGTGTTTGCTGCGCTAATGTCTAGTTAGCTACATGACAGAATTAAACAACTAATACTTTTTTTTTGAAGAAATTAAACAACTGATTCTACTTGCACATGTCTCCGGATCACTGTCGTTAATTAACTAACTTGAATATATATAGAGCCCGTCCTTGCATGTCGCCCTAAATGGGAGGATGCTTGCACAAAAGTTGGGCCATGATCAATTGTTTAGGCCACTGGATTGTTAATCAGTAGTGTAAGACTTGCTAAAGCGCAGCACTCTCAACCGCTAAACACATGCAACGTCTATTTTTTGTGTCTGCTCTTGCAGGCGCCGCCCGCATTGCCCGGCCCCGGCAAGTTCGGGTGCCGGCCGGTCAGCTGACTTGCTGCATGATTAAGTTGGGTTTTTGACGAGGGTTTAATTTGGATCTAGCGTTTAGATATAAGAACAAACAAAGCATTTTTTTTCAAAAGGAAACTAAAACCCCATCAATTGTGGAGTTTTTACAATTCTTGTCATGCCTGCAGATATATCTCGGCCCACTCACATTAAAAACCTTCTTCAGCACTTTGCTGCTTTCATTGGTCTGCAAAACAACTATGACAAATCTGTGATGGTGCCAATAAATGTCACCCAAGAGAGAATGATGACACTTTCTGCCAGTATTGGATGCCAAATTGGGGGATTTCATTTCACATACCTAGGGCTCTCCACTAAACACCAGCAGGCCAAGAATTGAAGATTTTAACCCCCTGCAGTCTGGCTGCTCCACTCTCCTCTCCTATGATGAAAGATTGATTCTTATTAAGTCAGTTTTCTCCTCAATGCTAACCTTCTTCATATGCTCTCTTGCAGTTCCTGTTGCAGTGATAGATCAAATCAATAAATACCTTAAACATTGCTTCTAGAGAAAATTTGGAATGGATGAGAAGGGTACTGCCTTAATTGCCTAGGATAAAGTCTGTATGCCAAAAGTGCAAGGAGGTCTTGGCATTCTTGATGTTGCTACTCACAATAAATCCTTGTTGATGAAAAACCTCCACAAATTCTTCAATCGTGTTGACCTTCCCTGGGTTAAGCTAATCTGGGAGACCTACTATGACTGTATCATACATACATTATTTCCTTTTAGGAAACTAGTTTTGATATCCATTCCATACTTCATTCCTTCCAAAGGATCAACTAAGTTCCAAACTTAATTGTCGTATATGAAATATACATTCTGGAAGATCAATTAAGTTCCAAACTTAATTATATATGAACTCCATTCCGGTGTGTATGGTTATTAGCCATTCCTTTGAGCTAGGTGCCACTATCTCTTCCTTGTAGTGCGCAGGTTCATCTTCTTCTAAGACGAATATCCAATTGTGAGATTATTCAGGAGGTTCATTAACTCTTCCTGATCTATGCTGTTCAGTTACAAGCTTTCACTAGAGTTTCTACATCTGATGTAGTAACTTCTGACTTTTAGTTTTGCCAAAAAATTTCGGAGCAATTTCCAATCTGTTAACTCCGTTTACTTTTGCTAGTGATTCGATAATATTTATAAAATTGTACTAAAACTCTTTCTCAAAAAAAAAATCATTCTTTGTGACAAACACTTTTGTCTTTGAACTTTTAGTAGAAGGAATACCCAATTACATATTTGGGATAACCTACAAATTAACATTTGTCTAGATCATGTACTCCATAATTTATATGGTATATTCTTGCCAGACTATAAGACGATGTTCAGTTTAGTGTGTATATATAGGGTGACGTTAAACTAAGTGAGAGCCCAAAACGCCTTATCGTGCGTGCCGGTCTCTAATTGTGCTAATCGCTTCTCTGCGCGACTCGGCCTCACCTATATCTTTATCTTTACCTGTTTATTTATTTATTTATTTACCTACTAATACTAATAAAGCAGATATTGCCTCTGGTCGTCCGCCAATGTCGTAGCAATTTTGCAGAAAAGCCCCTGTATTGTTTGATATTCAACCCGCGGTCCTTTATTAAGTGAGGAAAACGTTTCGTTCAGGCTGTTTTCTAAACGCCCCCTGTAGTTTCCAATATTGAACCCGCGGCCCACAAGGAAAAAAAAAAGCACGGGCTCTCCCACGCCTCCCGATTTCAGCCGGCGACCAACCCCGGCGACGCTCCGGTGCTGCGCCGGCCGCCGGCCGACCCCGGCGAGTGTTTGCCCCCTCTCCCGACCCACGCCTCTCTCTAGCGAAATAGGATTGGGCGCCGCAGCCGTTTATCAGCTCCCCCACCTCCATCCCGTCTCCTCTCCTACATCGGCCACACCACCCCGCGCTCGTGGAGCGGAGTCGAGGAAGCACGACGCCGGCTGCGGTGGAGTGAGGAGATCTCGTCCGATCGTCTTCTCCCTCCAAGGCAGGATCAGGCCCAACCTCCACGCCACCAGCTCCACCCCATATATCTTTCCTTTCAGGTTAGTTTCAGATCCGCTTAAAAGTTTCAGGTTAGCTCATCTAAAAACAGTTTCAGGTTAGTCTGCATAATTTAGGAATGTTATTTGGTTGACTGTCATTGTTACTTATCCGATCTGAATCTAATAAATAAGTAATGTAACGAAGGATGGTTCAGCACCTATTTCTGTGTGATTGTCACTGTTCTGGAATTGTGGTGGATAGAATAACACAAGACCTGCAAGCTTTACTAGAATAAACCTTGTGCAGGAACCTCGCACAAGCATTTAGTAATGAGCATGCTGAAAAAAACATTTAGTAGTGACTGATGCCTTCTGTGAATCCACCACCATTTATGCAGCATTGCATTACATAGTAGGTTTTTATTTCTTTGAGAAACACTACTGGTACAGCCGTTTGAATGTCAATTGTTCGGTCAATTGATCCAATAGACTTGTGGTGGATAGAATAACACAAAAGACTTGCAAGCTTTACTAGCATAAACCTTGTGCAGGAACCTCGTGCAAGCATTTAGTAATGAGCATGTTGAAAAAAAAACATTTAGTAGTGACTGATGCCTTCCGTGAATCCACCACCATTTATGCTACATTGCATTACATAGTAGGTTTTTATTTCTTTGAGAAATACTACTGGTACAGCCGTTTGAATGCCAACTGTCGGTCAATTGACCCAATAGACCGAAGGTAATTTTCTGTTGTTTTTTTACTTTGGTGTTCCATGTTATCACGAGTTCACGACCACAACCACTGGACAAGGCTAATCTTATGAGGAAGGCGTCAATAGCGATCTCATCAATGGGTTGTCACCAGAGGTATGTAATGCCTCGACCCCCCCTCAAAAACAGCCCTGCTGCTTTGGTTGTGAACTTGTGGTGCCTGTGTTCCTCACAGTAGTTGTTTTTGATGTTACTGTAGTTGGTGCACCACTGTATGATCGATGAATTCAACCGATTTTCCTTTGTTTGCACTGCTACATATGTATGTTACTGATTTGCCCCCCTCAGATCTACCCCTGTTTCAGTTTATTTTTTCTGAAAAATTGGTGCTACTTCAGATTACTCACAATTTCAGTTTGGCGAATATCTACATGGTCGGTATATTTGGGGAGTAGCATCTGATGAAATGTCACTGTAGTGGTATCGATTTCAATGTTATTTATCTTCCCTAGAATCTGGGAAGTGCACTTAGTTGGAAACATGCATGCAACATTTAGTTTTCTTTACTTACGTTACTTTCCTGCCTGGACATCATGCCAGCTCTAGCATCAATGTATATGATTTCTCAAGTGTCATATTCTGAATAATAACGCAAGATACTTTGAGTAAAAGTTCTGCAAATCTGTGCTCCTGGAAAGCTAGGATTTGTAGGGACAAAATGTACTGGATTGCTCGACAAAGTATGACAACAAGGTAAGAATCTGTCATATATCACATGGCTGCCTGGTCGGCATAATTCATATGTAGTTGTTCTGTCTAATTTGTTGTCAAGTTTTGGAACACGAATCAGTGGCGAACCAGCATCAGTAGTCATTCATGTCTCAAAACCTTAGATGTCATTGCCTAGGACTGTTGGTATAGAAATCAAAGACTGAGAATATGACGGTATCACCCTGTTTTCCTACTTGATCAATATTTCACCTATTTAATCATTACACTGGGGATGCCTTATATGTTGTATTACATGTGTTGTTTTCTTCTTCATTTAGAGACTAATTCTATTCTGCTCGGGTTTCATTACTCCTTAAATCTGCTTAGGATTGTCTTTGCCAACTGGGATGCTTGTAGTAGGTAAATAACATCGGTCTCTACTCTACTCTTAAACTAACATAGTCCGCAGCTGGGATGCTTAGGAAACAGTAAGAATTTCAGGCATTACCTAAAGAGTACAATCTGGTATTCCTAGATATTAAGGAGCTCTTAAAATTATGTTATCCATTCATGACATATCCACAAAACGTGCAATGGTTTCTGAGAAGGCACAAAGTCCACACGTGTCCCAGCCCGAGGCATGAACAAAGCGTCAAAGAACAACAGTAGTACATTTCCTGGACTAAGTATCTCCTTTAATCATGGACAGAAATACTTTTCTGGCTTCTTCTCACACTTTTCTTTAACAACTCAGTTTCCAACAAGGTCTCTTTGCGGTGCAACGGTGCACATAATTTTCTTAACCTTTTTGAGGCACTGTTGCACATTATGCAGCGAACCATATTTAGGCCGGCTTGGCTCCTTTTGGGGCAGCTTAGACTTGCACACCTTTAGTCCATCATCACAAATACGCTTAATCATTACACTGGATTTGCCATGTGATTTTTGTTTCACCGACTGAAACTCGCCACTAAATAGCAAATGGTAGACTGTACGCCATCAGACCGTTGTCCCCGGCATCTTTTGAGGGCGTTGAACTGTG